ACTCTGTCATTACAGGTATCGTTCCGGTCTGTCATAGAGATGCATTGGTTTTATTTGATTCAGGCTCCACTTATTCCTATGTGTCATCTTATTTTGCTCCATATGGTGGGTGTATCCCGTGATTCTATGAGCTCTCATGTTTATGTTTCTACAATTGTGGGAGATTCTATTATTGTTGACCATGTGTATCGATCGTATTTGGTTGTTATTAGTGGTTTTGAGACCAGAGCCGATTTATTCTTGCTCAGTATGGTAGATTTTGATATTATCTTGGGCATAGACCGGTTTTCTCTCCATTATGCTACTCTTAATTGTTACGCCAAGGCCGTGACGCTGGCTATGCCAGGCTTACCGCGGTTAGAGTGGAGAGGTACCTTAGATTTCACTCCTAGCAGAGTTATTTCATTTCGTAAGGCTCAACGAATGGTTGAGAAGGGGTGTGACGCGTATCTATCTTATGTGAGAGAAGTCAGTTTGATACCCAAATTGAGTCAGTCCCATTAGTGAGGGATTTCCTTGATGTTTTCCCAGTTGATCTTCCGGGCATGCCGCCCGACAGAGATAACGACTTTGGTATTTATTTGTTGCCGGGCACTCAGCCCATCTCTATTCCTCCATATCATATGGCCCTTCCTGAGTTGAAGAGTTGAAGGAACAGTTACAGGAATTGCTTGATAAGGGCTTCATTCGGCCTAGTGTGTCACCTTGGGATGCTCCTGTCTTGTTTGTGAAGAAAAAGGATGGTTCTATGCGTATGTACATTGATTATCGCCAGTTGAACAAAGTTATAGTGAAGAACAGGTATCCTTTGCCTTGTATTGATTACCTATTTGATCAGTTACAAGGTCCCAGAGTGTTTTCCAAGATTGACTTGCGTTCAGGCTATCATTAGTTGAAAATTCGGGAGCCAGATATCTCGAAGACTGCTTTCAGGACTCAGTATGGTCATTACGAGTTCCTTGTGATGTCATTTGGGTTGACCAACGCCTCAGCAACATTTATGCATTTGATCAACAGTGTATTTTTGGCCTTATCTTGATTCATTCGTCATTGTGTTTATTAACGACATTCTGGTGTACTCCCGGAGCCAGGAGGATCATGAGCAGCACCTGAGGACTGTGCTTCAGACCTTGAGAGAAAAGAAGTTATATGCAAAGTTCTCAAAATATGAGTTCTGGTTGGATTCAGAGGAATTTTTGGGTCACGTAGTGTCGAGTGAATGGATCAAGGTGGATCCAAAGAAGGTGGAAGCAGTGCAGAGTTGGCCCTGACCGTCCTCAGCTACAAAGATCCAGAGTTTTCTTGGTTTGGTGGGGTATTACCGTTGATTTGTTGAGGGATTCTCATCTATTGCAGCACCTATGACCAGGCTGACCAAGAAGGGTGCTCCGTTCAGGCGGATAGATGAGTGTGAGGAGAGCTTTCAAAAGCTCAAGACAGCTTTGACTACAACCCTAGCATGGGTATTGCCTACAGGTTCGGGGTCTTATATTGTCTATTGTGATGCGTCGCGGATTGGTCTCGCTGCGTTTTTGAGAGCGAGCAGGATATGCGCAGCCGTTATCCTCATCTTTTCACCACTTCAGGTATGTCTCTATGCTCGTTCGAGGATGAACGATTGTAAATCGTAGTTGACAGGCTTAGTTAGTCTTTTTCATTTCTTTTGATTTTGATATAATAACAGGACCGCGGACCGGAACCTTGACGGAACGGCAGCTCGATCGGCTCTCCACCTCGGTACTCCGTCATCTCACTCACTTCTGAACTACACGTGGCCTGATTTCTTTATAGCCAAGGATATGTAGGAAGCTCAGAAACCAGGTGTTACAACCCATATTCACATACGTTTGTTCATACCATAAGGTCGTCGACGTAAATCCATGAAGATATTATCTTTAAGATGATAAGAGGTTAATCCTATTGGTCTTAAATGATACAAAGGTGTATAAGGGTGGTTAACAAGTATTAGAAGTTAAACGAATCAAGGATGTTGTCAGCCGTATTTTTGGGTAAACCTAGGGGTGCTTAATACTATCAAGAGGTCGTATTTTAAGGTATATGAATCATAAAATATCCGTATCATAGTCTTGAAGTCAAATGAGTTATGAAACAAAAGTCGACAAGAGTTGTTGCAACTTAGGTTCATAATTTTACTTAAACTTTAGGTCAAATGTTATTAAGCTTTTCTCCCAATATACTTGGAATTACGGGGTAATCTACCCACCAAATTGAAGATCTATGAGTCTAGTTTCCAACGCATTAAACCGTTTATCAATACGACATTGGAGTAGAGAGATATAGACATTTTTACGAGACTGCACAAGCTGCTAGGTGACAAGTAGGTGGGTCACCTATTTGGTTAAATGATAGCCCAAAAAGAGGCAATTTCGGGTCAGACCAAGAGCCCATTAAAAGGCTTATCTCCTGCAATATATCCCTCATTATATTTCACAAATAACCAGACCTAAACCCCTACAAACTTCCTCCCAAAAATTATCCACAAACCCTAATTGATTTTCCCTCTCTTTCAAGTTCAAATTGGGGGTAAACCCTAGAGTTTGAAGAACCAAGATAAGGGCTGAGTTATCCAACAAGTAAGGTGAGTTTACTGCTATCTTTCATACATTTATTCTGCTGTGAATTCATGGTAATTCGTTCTATACATGTAAGAACTCACGGGACGGTGATCGGAAGCCGTGAGTTCGAGTTATTCACTTGTAGCGGACTGTTTTGTGGACTGTTTTGTGTTGCTGTTGGGCTGCGTGTTTTACTACTGTTTTGTGGAGTTTTGGAGGAGGAAGGGTGTGGAGAAACACCATATAGATGTAGGGTTGTGGGCTGGTAGTTCTTCGTAACATTTCCGGGTCGTTTGACACGACTACGGTGGCCGTCGTATGTATGAAGTGATTTGGTTGTGCGTGGACTGTTTTGGGAGGCTCAATATGATTATTATTGATGTTGTTTGGGCTGTTTGGTGATTGTTTGGAATTGTGTGAAGTCATATATATAGGGGAGGTGCTGTCCGTTTCATCGTAAAATAGGTTGTGGTCGATACATAATAGTTATGACGCTTGAATGGTAACTATAGTATCGTTTCTCTTATTGTAGACTAAGGAGTTGTGAAAATTGCATAGCTTGAGATTGGGGCAGTATATACAAGGTATGTGAGGCTATCCCTTTCCTTCCTTTGCACGACTCCGATTGTACATAATGTAATGAACGAGCTTCCAAAGATACTCTACTCTTAGAAGCTAGCAGTACTTACATTGTTTCCCCTCTTATGGAACGAATGATGTTGATGTTGCTTCTCTTATTCTTATGTTATCAATGTTATTGGTACTTCCTGATTCTTATAAGGTTCATGGTGAAGATTTAGTCCTAATAACGTGTACACAGGATACGACCTTACGTCACTCCGAAAGGTTTATATATATATATATATATATATATATATATATATATATATATATATATATATATCTTACTCTACCAAGCCGCGCTATAGACGGCCGGGTATGGCACCTATTGTGCAACCACTGATCAGTTGGGTTTTCCTGAGCTCCACGTGGCCGGGTACGATTCTACCGAGCCTTATGATGGCCGGGTACGTTTTTACCGAGCCTATTATGGCCGGGTACGATATGATGATGATGATGCCCACAGAGGCGTATGTTTTAAAAGTTTATGTATATATACATATGTATCACGCATTTCATGTCAGTAGCCCTTAGAGGTACCCAGATGTTACAGGTTGTTTATTCTCTATCCCTGCTTACATTACTATTCGTACTTATGGTTCCCTGCCTTACATACTCAGTACTTTATTCGTACTGACGTCCTTTTATTTGTGGACGCTGCATGTCGTGCTGCAGAACCTGATAGACAGGCAGGCGCAGCTCCCCCACCATAGTAGGTTGTCCAGTTCAGCGGTGATTGGCGAGATCCCTTCTTCGGACTTGCCGTGGTCTTGGTATGCATTTTTGTTATAGATATTATGGGTATGTCGGGGCCCTGTTCCGGCTATGTTGCAACACTTATGTTCCTTTAGAGGCTGATAGACATGTGTTGACTCATGTATAGTTTGGTAGGCCTTGTCGGCTGGTTTTTGTTGTATAGTCTCTCATGGTAGCGTGGTAGCTCGTACCTTATATATGGTTTCTTGATTGTCTAGTCATCCCATGTTATGTATGTTCATGCAATCATATTTTATTGTTGGTTGTCCACGACCCATGTCTACCATTTATATTGATCTCGTCAGCCCTAAAAGATAATAAAGAAGGTTAGATAAAATGTATGTTGGTGCTCGGTAAGTATGGCCGGGTGCTAGTCATGGCCTTCCAGTTTGGGTCGTGACACCAGGGCTCGGTCACACTCCCATTTTCTCTTAGTTTTGGTCTCCTTAAATAAGGGTCGGGTCAAAAAACCTGTCTAGTCGTTCTTTGTCTGAAAATACTTCGTCTTTCCAGTCAAAGAGGGGCAGCTGTAGACATGTGATTTTTTACCCTCCCCAAGATTTTTTATATTTTAGCATGTAAATATTTAATTTTGGCCTAATATAGCTATTTCAACTATTTTTGACTTCTTTACTTTATTTTCGTCATAAAAATGAAAATTAAAAAAAAATATTTTAGCTTACGTAAAAATATACAAAAAAATAGTACCTTATTTTTGCCTTTACATAATCTTGAAAATACAAAAAATATATAATAGTTTCATTATAGATTTTGCATTGTGTAGTATTTTTATCTTATTTTAAAAGGAGTCAATTAAGGTGTTGGATCACAATTTTATGAGTTTTAGAGTCCAGTTCTTGGCCCAATTCGGATTAGTCCGTTAAGCCTAGTGACCCTTCTAGACCTTCTTTGGAATAAAAAAACAAATAAAAAAGACCCTAAGGACCTAATACACAAAAAACCTAGGGACTAATTGGCAAAATACATAAAATGTAAACCTAAACGTAGACTCTACCTATAAAGTAATGCCTAAAAATACACCAAAGAGAACGCAAAAAAGCTAAAAAAAAAAAAAAGGAAAGCTGACCGCAGCTTTTGCTGACAGCCGCAGACGAACCCCACCCCCCTCGGCTTCGTCTTCTTCACGAGACCTGAAGCCGCGCCATTTGAACACCAAAAAACGACCTCCCCATCTAACCGCCTTCTTCTACACCCCATAACATCAACAGCAACCCCGACTCCTTGCGCTGAAATCCGCCACACCCCAGCCCTCTTTCACTGAAACTCGTCGGAAGATACGCATACACGCATAGAGAGTGACTGAACAGTGAGAGGATTGAGGGAAAAACAGAGTGCGAAGGGACAGAGGTGGATTCGGATTCGTTGTCGTCACTAGTTGCCATCGAGGTTCGGAGTCGTTGTTTCCATTCGTGCCGAGCAAATTCAGTCTAGCTTAGGTTCGAAATTTAGTTGCCTTTTGTTCGATTTTGTTGCTGCTGCGGTTGGTTGAGACGCGGATGAGTCGAGGTTCAGGTTGCAGTTCGAGGTTTAAGTCCGTGACCCCTGTTTGAATTTGCTGTTGCACGGTTCATTTTGGAGTTGTCTCTTTGTATTGAATCAAATATTGAAGAAGGTTCCGTCTGAAATTCTTTTAAAGGTTCAGTTTCTTGCTTTCAATTTCATTCTGTTTTGGCATTTGATGAATTTTCCTTATAATTGATTCATTGCTGTTTTTTTTTTTTTTTTGTTTTTTGCCATTATTTCTTCCTTTTGTTTTTTTGCATTTACTTGGGAATGTTGGTTTATATATCCATATTGTGATATTATTGGGATTATTGATGTTGAGTAATTAAAATGGATCTCATCGGATTTTTGGTTGGTCGTTGAAACAGGTTTGATGTCCAAATATATCTTTGTTCTTAATAAGAATGGGTTGGTTTGGAATAATCTGACTAAATCCAATTGGACAAAGTGATTTTTCCTTATCATGTTTTTGAAAGTTTATGCTAGAAATATTGGTTCCATAACCTTTTTTCCTCTTAATTGTTTGAAAAATTCAGTATCACTAGATATAAAAATTAATATGGTTTTAGTTTCCTTTACTTGACATCTCTAGTTACACTACTTGTGCAAGTTGCGTGTTAACTCTCGTAGGCCTACATCGGTTTCTTTAACTCTGCTTTTCTATAATATATAGTAGCCAATATGATTTGCTTTAAGCGTGTTAATAATAAATTATCGTGATTACGGGTACGGTTCTCATGGCATGGTCACGATACGTAAATCTCAATTCGGGTGTGCATTTCATGTGACCCGATTCTAATTTCTGTCAAGGTTAAATAGAACGTGTCGTGAACCACGGGTGCATTTCATGTAGCGTGGCTTACGATGTGTTTTAAATAACCTTGAAATTTCCTGAAATATTAAAAGCGGATAGAAAGTTAAAAAATGCACATAGGTTTAAAATGTGTAGTTACATCAGATAATTAGGCCAATAATAACAGTTGAGCGACCGTGCTAGAACCACGGAACCCGGGAATGCCTAACACCTTCTCTCGGGTTAACAGAATTCCTTACCCGGATTTCTGTGTTCGCAGATTGTAAAACAGAGTCAATCTTTCCTCGACTCGGGATTTGAAACCGGTGACTTGGGACACCATAAATTATCCCAAGTGGCGACTCTGATTTTAATAAAATAATCCCGTGTCGATTGTCACTTAAATTGGAAAAACTCCCTATATACCCTTTCCTCGGGGGTGTAGGTAAAAAGGAGGTGTGACAGTCCCCGGGCCTCGGGTGTGTTTCGGATGCTCAACGGATCATTTTGGACTTGTGAGAGATATCAGATTTTTCTAGTATTTCTGTTGCAGACTTTTCTTCATCGCTTTCGCGAGAGAGGTCTCGCGTTCGCGTAAAGCATCCGGGAAGCCAGCTGAAGTTGTTCTTTGCGTTTGCGAAGATGGGGCCGTGTTCACGAAGGTTTGAGGATCAGTGCAATCACGAACGCGAGTAAGGCATCGCGTTTGCGTAGAGGAAGTGGAGCAGCTGGGGACCCCATGGATTGTTCTATGCGTTCGCGTAGTGTGTGTCGCGTTCGTGAAGCATCAGGAAGTGAAAGGTACACGTTCGCGAGAGGTCCCTCGCGTTCGTGGAAAAGGATTTTTTGGTCAATGATTTTTGTTCAACGCGAACGCGAGACTTTGACCGCGTTCGCGAAGAAGGAATTAACTGGGCAGAATATAAAATTTCAAAAATAAGGGTTTGGCGATTTTTGTCAAAACTTGAGTTTGGGAGCTCGAATTTGGACGAGATTTTGGGGGGATTTTCAGAGACATCGATTGGGTAATGATTCTACACTTGATTTTGGTTATATCCCATTAATCTATCTTTAATTTCATCATTTAATTTCTGATTTGGGTGGAAAATTGAGAAAAAAATGGGAAGAAGTTCTTCAACTAAGATTTTGGGTTTTGATTGGGATTTTGACATCGGATTTGGATAATTTTGGTACGAGTGAACTCGTGAGTGAATGGATGTTCACATTTTGTGACTTTTACCTGATTCCAAGACGTGGGCCCGGGGAGGCTTTTTAGGGTGATTTTCTAATTTCTTGTTAAAGTCTTGATTTCATTAATTAGGTTAGTTTATTATAGTTGTATTTATGATATGTAATTGTGTCTGGCTAGATATGGGCCATTCGAAGCCAGATATTCGTGGAAAAGGCATTGTTATCGAGTGATTGAGCTTAGTTCGAGGTAAGTGGCTTGCCTAACCTTGTGGGGGAACTCCCCTTAGGATTTGGTACTGTTTTGATATGTGAGCGTCGTGTATGTGAGGTGACGAGTGCGTACACAGGCTATTTGTTGTAAAATCCGATTTTTACTGAGTAATAACCTGTTTCCTCTTATTTGAGTTCTATCAGCATGTGTAATTATCTTGTTTAGCTTAGAATAGCATGTCTACGTGTCTTAAGTGCTTATCTGAACTCTGTGCAGCATGCGTAGTGAATTTTCCTGCTTTTCTCTTGACTTGTACTTAGTCGAAACTGTAGGATCTCTACTCTAACTGTTATATTCATTGTTTGAGTTGCATATTTACTTTGGCACTATGGAACAGTATTTCGTGAGATCCCCCTGCACATTTACTTTGGGACTACGGGACGGTATCCGGGAGATACCCTTTCATATTTACTTTGGGACTACGAAACGGTATTCTGGGAGATCCCCCTGCACATTTACGTTTAGGACTACTAGAGGTATCTCGGAAGATCCCCTGTTGCTATTTTGTGTATTGTACTGTTATCCCTTCTGTGATTTACTTCCGGTTAAATTTAAGTCTGTATTTTACTGCGATATTTTTGTTCCGTCTTATTATATATATATATATATATATATATATATATACTAGTAGGGCCCTGACCTGACTTCGTCACTACTCGACCGATGTTAGGCTTCGCACTTACTGAGTACCGTTGTGGTGTACTCATGCCTCTTCTGCACATATTTTTCGTGTGCAGATCCAGGTACATCCTACCATCCTCGAGTTTAGTTGCACGGTTGCTGCTCTTCATGAGACTTCAAGGTACATCTTCCGCGTCCATAGACCTCGGAGTCCCCCTCTATCCCCTTATGTTGATTCTTCCCTTATTTCTTTAGACATTGATGTATAGAACAATTAGAAATTCTTAGAAGCTTGTGACTTATGGTATTCCGGGTCTTGGGAGAGTTGTGTATATTTCGGGAGTTGATTATTGTATATGCCAAGCGGCATCTCAAATGCTTATTTAAATTATAGTTATTGTTAGTTGTTAGCTTTTATGTTTTTCATTTTATTTCTGCAAATGTTAGGCTTACCTAGTCGTAGAGACTAGGTGTCGTCACGACAAAATCTCGGAGGAAGAATTTGGATGTGACACTTACGCCCTAATATATGCCACAAGTGCATCTCTTGCCTCCAAACATCTGACCACATATAAGATTATTTGAAGGTTTGAAAAAAAGAATATTTAAAATTAAATCTAAAAAAAATATTTGAAGGTTGAATTTATGTTTCTACATAAATTTTACTTGAAAAAAATTAAGATCTTGTGAGTCAAAGTATTTTTCACTTCCTCAAATAAGTTTTTCAACTTTAAATTTATCTACTACAAGTTAAAATTGAAACAATGATAAATACTGTTGGCGAAACTTCAACATATAAAAAATGAGATTTCAGTGTTTGACAAGTGAAGTAATGGCCAATGTGCAATGAGTTAGTAAAATCAAAAGATAGATTGAAGTTCTTTTTACCATGGTGACAATTAGGGGCGTTCATGGTTCGGTTTTAGTCGATTTTTTCGAAAAAGAAATCAAACCAAGTAAGTCGATTTTTCAAATATTGGAATCAAACCAAACCGATTAAGTCGGTTTTTTATCGATTCGATTTTTGTCGGTTTTTCGGTTATTTATTGGTCTTTTTCTTAAATATGAGATATACACTACCAAACGAATATTCCGGCGATTACATTTTCAACATAGCACTATCAAATCAATTGCTCTTTGAGAAATCTATCATTTACCAAAATATATTGATGATAATTGAATGAAATAATGATGAATAATTTAAATACTCAATTAAAAATCGATTATTTTTAACATGAAATAAATTCTTTTTGTACTTAGCAAAAGAAAACTACTAATCAAACTAGAATGTGAAGGCAAAGAATTAGATTATTAAATAGCAAAGAACTAGACTAAAAATATAAATGATTAATATGTACCATAAAGTTTTTGAAACTTTATATAAAAATGTACGTGTACACACATACACACACACACACACACACATATATATATATATGTGTGTGTGTGTGTGTTTAATAATAAATCTAAATAGCTCTTTTTATAGTTGGTTTGGTTCGATTTTTTTGATTATTTTTTGATTAAAACCAAAACCAAACCAAATTTGATCGATTTTTAAAATTGAAAACCAAAACAAGACAAACCTAAAAAGTATCAAATTTTTTAAATCAATTTAATTTAGTTTTCGGTTTGATTCGATTTTTCGGGTTTTTATGAACATCACAATCATCTCAAAATAACATAACTCGCAACCCGGGGCTGAAGTGTAATATTTAATACTATAGGGCAGACAAGTAAAATTCCATAAAACTAATACAACAAACAAGAAAAGAAAAAACCTTGTACTTCTGTTTCCTAGTTGCCGGAAGATCAACAATTGGACGAGGAAACATTGAAGACGAGGAATTTTTATTAACTCAATTTGTGATGGAGAGCACAGTAGCTTCTAAATTTTAATTGTTGGTTCATCACTTTTCTTCACTTTTTTTTTGGGTAGAAAAAAGATTTAGAAACGATCTTCTTTTTGAAATTTGCACAAGTCGAGTTGTTAATTTCTATGTTTTGTTTTCCTGCAGTGTAATCAAATTGAGGAGGAGGAGTGAAGCTGTTATAAATGGGAGAAATGGTAATTTTATTGGAAAACTTTAGTTTTTGCCCTTTTTGCTGAATTTTTATTTAATTTTGGATTATTTCACGTATTGGGGTTCTTTATTATCAGCTTTTAGTACAATGTATATTATGAAAGTGAAAATCCATGTTTTTGTCTTTTGAAATTTATGTACTTTGTCAATCAGTCATTACAGTTAGAAGAACTATGTTGTTGAGGATAGCCCTTTTGTATCAGAGTTGTTTCTCTTGATGTTGTTTCCAATTTCCACAATTAGGTCTTCTTGTTTAGCATATAAAAACAACACCCTTCATGTTAAGATAAGCTCGGACAATTTTGTTTACAGCTATTTCTCTGAGCATGCATTTGTTTGGGTTTGACACCGCAAACAGTGGCGGAGCTATGGGAAAACCTCCTTCATTAAAAATTTATAATTGTTGAAATATACTGTGAAAATAGGGCAATAAATTTTTTGGTTATATGTAAGCTGATGAATCCCCTTGATAAAAGGAAAGAGTCCAGTGCAGCGGCAAAGAGGGTTCAAAAATTGCTTTAGATCACAGGTTCATATTCCATATGTGACATTCTATTTTTTTTTATATCCCCCTGTATAAATTTATGGCTCCGCCACTGTCCGCAATGTTCTTTTTTGGGGGAAAAGGAGGGTCAGTGTAGGGGAAAGGAATAGCCTGGTGAGAATCTGAACCTGCACGAATAGTACACTAGGTAGCACTTCTAGTGTTGAAAAGTTTCCAAGGCTAGCCAAAAGGAGGATAGCATCTTTTCAGATTACAGGTGAAACAGAAACTATGAGGTGTCATCGATAACAGATGCTAAAAGTAAATCCTCTTTTTAACAACACTAGTGTCTGGGGCTGCTTGTGCGCATGTTGATAGTTTTCCGGCTACCTATAACTCTTACCAGCACAGTTGTTGGGTTCTGTTTACCATGGATTAGTCAAATGGCAAGACCTAGTGTTGCTCCCGTTGAGAATGGAAGCTAGACCCTCTCCCTTGAGGGCATGCGTCTACTGAAGATTTAACATAGCCATACTTGTTAAATAATACAACAACAATAACATACCCAGTGTAATCCCACAAAGTGGAGTCCGGGGAGGGTAGAATGTACGCAGATGTTATCCCGACCTTTGTGAAGGTAGAGATGTTGTTTCCGACAGACCCTTGACTCATAGAAAAATTAAAAGAGACAGAAATAACAAGTAGTAAAAACAACAAGATAAAGAGATAAGGTGATAGAATAATAAAGCGAAAGAAACAACATATAACAAAAGAAATTTGCGGATAGGAAGTTATGAAAATACTAGACTAATGTTAATGCTACCAGCATGAAAAGGAGACACGCATGCCTATCTACGAACCTTCTACCCCAATTCCCAACCTCCACACCCGCCTATCAAGGGTCATGTCCTCAGTAAGCTGGAGCAGCGCCATGTCATGCCTAATCACCTCTCCCCAATACTTGTTAAGTAATGTCACTCTTATTTGAAACATGCATTGTTAAATTGTGAGCGCATGTGTATGCATGTTTTTTGAAGTGGAAAAGGACTAGCTTTTGCGATTTCGTATTGTCTTTATATTGTCAATGCTTATAAACCTTTCTTGAAGTGGAAAGGACTAACTTTTGGGATTTCTTATTGGCCACTTTATTTATATTTTCAAAGGTTAAATAACCTTTTATTGGCTGCCTGTTAGGTTCTTATGCGAGAGGAGGATGTAAATCTGGACGCTGTACGGGCTAGATGTAACCTTCTCTTCTTTTGTGTCTTTGGTTTTTGGCACTTACATCATCCCACATTCATATTGTCCTTTTGCTGGCAGTTTCAAATGTTCTTAAAAGACATTCGGAGCTAGCAGAGCGTCTTTCTAGGTATTGAATCTTAAGACTTGATTGGTATTTACATGATCAGTTAAGTTTTTCATTAAATCTCACATCTTTTCTCGAATTTTTGCTACAAATGACACATAGTAAAAGTTGCAAGCAAGAGAGTCTTCCATTCTTTTTCGGTCAAAGTTTAAGAAAGGAGCTGAAGTGTACATGTAGTTGCAGGTTGGATATTAGTGATGATAGGATGGCTAGGGTTTGAATAAGTGAATTCTTTAATGGAAGAATGTGAATAGAGGATTGTAAAGGTAAGGAAGAACAAAGGAATTCGTGAAAATGGAAACGCCACTAGAAAAGTCGAAAAGAAGATTTATCAGCATCCTTAATCTACTTTATAATCATGAGAAGACTTTTTCGCACAGAAATGTTGGAGTAATAAATAGAACTTCCTGCAATTCATTGTGTCTTAGCATGTACGATTTAAAAAAACATATTCCAATGGTTGATCAAAAGGAAATACTCTTTGACTTTGTGCACTTTTTATTAATAGAATAGTCAACGATATGAGTTGTTTTTGGTTAGCAAAACATCAAGGAATATCTTGAGTTTTAGTTTCTAAAGAATAAAATTGAAGAAAATGTTTATTGATAAGATTAAATGTGGGTCCCATCAGACATTTTTTGTTATATAGAATGTGTAATTACTTCCTTTTTAATGTGCGACAAAAGTAGGACTGGACAGAAAGTTTGACATGTACTTTCTTAGGGATGGTAAATAGGGCGGGGCGGGGCGGGTGAAGCTTTACCCTGCCACATATTTGACCTGCCCTGCCGCGTTTAACAGCTTTTCTTTTTTTAACCTGCCCTGCCCTGCCCTGTCCCGCCCTGTTTAGCTTATATTTTTTTTTCCTTCATTTTTTAAGTTTTCATGTTCTTACTTATTTGGACGGGTCTGATTCTAATTTCGATTTGAGCAAAAGTAAAAGCAAACAAAGTCAATGGAATTTAATAACCTGTAAAATTTGAAACTTGTTAAAAGAAAGGAAACTCTAATAAACAAACAAATTATATTATTTGAGGAAACTTAAGCCTGTACTTCATAAGATGTATATATGCTTGGGAATATTCTACAAGTACTTGAAAAAGAAATTAGAGTGTGTTTGTAAAAATGAATAATAATAACCAAACCAACATAGTATCATGTTTGACTCAGTAAATGTTCATGAAAGTTTGGAGTTGTAATTGGAATTTTTTTGATTATTATCATTTCAAAGATTTGCAAGGAGAAGAAAGGACCAAATATCTTACTAAAGAGAAATCAGATTGTCTGCGCTAGGGACTTTATTTCATGTATCAGTAAAACACTTAAGCTTATTAAACTAAGTGCAAATAACAAAGTAAGAAAAGAAAAATAAAAATAACAAATTAACAAGTTAGTGATACTTCCACCAATACGCAATCCATTTGCATGTTCCCAGTGAAAACACATGGTATTGAAAAATGAAAAAGTTTCAGTTTATTTTTATCAATTTTGCAGCTAAAACCCTTGCCCTACCACCTGCCCTGCCCCATTTATAATTTTCTAAAAATGTGCTTTGACCCGCCTTGCCCTGCCCTGCCCCGTTTAAGTAATCCCCTACCCTGTCCTACTTTTGCCCTGCCCCATTGCCATCTCTAACTCTCCCAATTAAATTTACTTAGAGCTTATGACTTATAATTCTCAGTTTAATTTAATTATGAGCTATTTCATCAAAAAGAATTTTGTTAAGAGCTCAAACTTTTGACTCAGATAAAGTTACATGTTCATATCTCCCGAGCATGATGGCATCTTTGCAAGCACTTAGATTACTAAGATGGAGCCGAAAAGTGGTGCTTTCTTTCTGTTTCCATAATAGTTGTGTTTTCTGCATTTACATTGGTGCGAATCACCAAATAACTGTGACAATTTTCTCTAGGGACTCTGACAAGTCAATTTTTGAGCGTCTACAGAGGGAATTTGAAGCCGCACGCGCTTCTCAAACTCAAGGTAACTTTGGTAGAATTCTAGAGCACATCTAATCCTGATGTTCTCTTTTCTCTTGCTCTTGGTTGTGTTCTATTTAAGTTGTGAGCACACAAATAGTACTTGAATGGTTCGTTTATCATATGGAACGTAATGTTTAGTCTAATACTTGATTTTCGCTTGTTATCTTCTGCAAGTGTTACTTGTGCCATGTTGTTTGATATCTGATCTAAGGAGAGCACCTAATAACAGCGGTATATGGCTGCAAGTTTTTTAAAGACTGCTACTTGAAAAAAAGCGCTTCTTAAATACTTGCTCATTCATTTTTGATTTTATGATGTTTAAACTATGTCTTTAAAGAGTGAATTTGTAAAAAATTGTTTCAGTAGCTAGTGTATCGATCACGGTGGGGATAGCTTATTATAAGTCAGCATTGCATTTTGCTGCATGTTACTTCTTGTTCCACATATAGTGATGAGTTCTTTCCTTGATCTGTCCTGTTTGATCCTCAGTTATCCTTGAAATGTACTTGATCTAGTCTATACAATATGTAACTCCTGTCTCATTTTGATTCTTTTGCAGAACTTAGCTTAGAAGGCGAGCAATGGAATGATGGCTTATTAGCAACAATAAGAGAGCGGGTATGTACAGTTAAATTATTTTATCCAGAGTGTCGGTTCATCTCCAAGCTTGTTTATTCCTTAAGATATTTCTCCTTCCAACCAAGCAATCAGTAATCTTTCCCTTTTTGTCATCATATTAGAGGATGCCGGATTCAGACAGCTACATGTTTTAGCTTACTCTACTACTTTTCTGCTCCCGTTCTCAGATTCTATCACATAATTTTCTTGCATGATTCAATCTATCTTAGGTACATATGGAGGCAGAGAGAAAGGCCATGCAGATGCCAGGGGACACAACCCAGTTGCCAAGTCCTTTTCATGAAAAGATTACATACAAAGTTGGGAATAAGGTCTGTTGTGCCTGGTAGCTACAATTTGTCATGGCTTATAGGAAAAATTATTTGTGAAAGATCCTTTAAGATCTTTAAGTTATGTGTTCTGATTTCTGGATTTCAAACCATTTTCTTGTAGTGTCTAATTCATTTGTTGATCTACTCTTCAGATTTCTTGCTTATAAAAAAAAAATTGTCGATCTACTCTTATTATTTGAGTAGTTTTGTGCTTTCTTTTCTTACTGCATCTTGGCTTTCCACTAAGTGCCGGTTGACATGTAGTTTAGTTTGGCTGGGTCTATATTGTTTGCTGTGTTTACTATCAGAACAAGTTGGCAGTGCTGGAGGAGCTTGGAATTGTGAGGGATGTAGGCCTGACCTTTTTTTTTTAAATTCTATTTTTCCGTGCAGTTTATTTGTTGCTTAGATGGAGCAAGGATTGGCATACAATATGAGACTTCATTTGCAGGTACATCACGTGCCATTGTCTAGTGGTGGCTACAATTTTCCAGTTGGGAACATTCCAATACATACCTTGATATACCTGTACAAATTTCCCAAATGAAGTTTATTCTGTTGTAGGTGGGGTCAAAATTTTATTTTTCATCTAGATTACTAGTGAATGATGTCAATTTGTCTAATTTACAGGAGAATCTTGTGACCTATACCACTGTGTGCTTGAAAGCAAGTCATTTCTTGAGAAGATGACTGTTCTGGAACATACAGTTCCTTTTTTCTTGCCAATACGTGAAGCTGAAAATGAGTTTCTCTCATCAAATGCAATAGTATGGTCACTGCATCATTTGTGTTAGATCCTATTCTAACATGGTCATTGCTTCATTTGTATTAGATCCTAACTTTTTCCTGTATAGTACTGACTGGATACTTCTGAACTTGCATTCATGATTTCTTCAGAAATTTATTGACCATGTCGGAGATCTCTTGCAAGCCTATGTAGATAGAAGGGAACAGGTATGCCCTAACTTAGAGATAATGAATTACCAGAGTTCTTCCTTTTTTTTTTGGGTGAACGATATCACTCAGCAGTTTCTTGCTCAGTCATGGGCTTGAATCACACACTTAATCTTCTTTCCCACTTTGCATTGGAGACTGTCTTCAAAGTCGTTAATCATTTGCTAGTTTCACAGAAGATTTTGTGGAATAATTAGGACAAAGTAGAGGTGATAGTTGAATTAAAGAGGTGGAATCACCCTTGGGGTTGGACATTGGATGATGAAGAAAGGAACCTAGAGATGCAAATACAGAGGATTTCAGCAGAACATTGTACTCCCTCCGTTTCAAAAAGATTGGCATAGTTCGGAGTACGAGGGTCAAAGTACTTAACTTTGGCTGTGAATTTGGACATAGATTCTTCAAGTTTTTGAAAATAAAATTTATATTTTCAGAAACTACATAAAAAGTATATAAGTCAAAATAATTCATAATTGAAAATATTTATAAAATATTTAAGAAAATCGCGGCAAAAAAAACAACCCGTAGACTTCCCAAATAGTAATATTGCCAATCTTTTTGAAACGAAGGGAGTAATAAAGATAAGAATCTGAAATAGAAGATATCAACTGGAAAGCAGAGTAGAAATGAGGCTTTTGGAATGTGGGGTATATTATAATTCAGAACTTCAAAATAGAAAATCAACAATCTTTTTAGTATTCAATGAAAATTATGTTGAGGGGATGGATCTACTGTATGATGGATAACATACAGAGTATCTAGCTTTTGTAGTTATTTAATAGGTTTTTCTTCAGTGCCGTTTAGGTACAAAGTTATTTTACCTATCAAAAATATTTTTCATTGGCATGTTTGTATTGGTAAAATGCAACTTGTTCTTTTGCAGGTTCGGCTTATTAAAGAGTTGTATGGAAATCAAATCGGTGAACTCTATCATAGTCTTCCATACCATATGATCGAGTTTGTGCTTGAAGATTTTGATTCGTATGCTTTTCTTCCTTTCTGTTATTGTATCTTCCGTTTCACTATCCTTCACGAGAGGTTGGCTTTGTAGGTTTTATTTTCTCTTTTCCAACTTGGATCTTCCTTTTCTCTTGAGTGGTCTTGTGAAGTACTGTACAGAAGCATCAAGTGAACCGGACTGTGTTATTTAGGCTGCAGATGTAAGAATAAAGTTAGCTTCCTAATATCAGTACTCAAAGAAACTAACAATACCGTGAACTATGAAGCAACTTACTTATATGGTATAACACTCGTGGTGCACAACTTGATTTAGCTTAGGCTGGTGATAAAAGGTTTCAATTGTATCTCCTTATGATGCTATCAGCCTATAACATAGCCTCACCCCGCTCTCCTGTTCATGATATGTAGCGAATTTCTTCATTTTCTGGTTGGATCTTGTGTACACATGACTTGCCTTTGTGAGCCTCTAAATAACAACATTTTTGGATCGAGTGTTTATTCAGATCTCATTATCTGTATGTCTGCCAAAAGCGAGTGTCTGATCTATAATCTTGGTTACTGAACAGAGTGCAATTTATGGTTTAACTTGCAAACTCCAATTCTTACCATCATTTGGTTTCTTCTTGCAGGAAGGTGACAGTTAGTCTGAGATATGCTGATCTGATCTCTACACTTCCCTCTGGGGTTAGTGTCTTGGCATGGCCTATGCACCAGTCCAGGAAATCCTCCGATACAATTCCCTTGAGTCAGAAAGGAAATGGAGTAGGAAGTCACCCTATCCCAGCGCGTTTGACATACGCAGAGGATGCACTCCGGACCATGAGTCTGCCGGAAGGTTTTGCTTCTTTATATGAATTCCATCTCTGTTACTTTACGTATTATTTGTTTGTCCAATGCATATTCTATGTTAATCTTTAGGAAAAATCTTAATATATTTCCTTTACTTGGTAATTTAAGGCTGAGCCACGAGAGGTCTTCTGGTGGCTAAATATCTTCCTGTATACTTTCCAGCTCTGGGTAGATCAAGTATAATTAGTAAAGAATTACTAAACTAAGGTTAAAAACCCTTATCGCTGAAGAGATGCATAGGACATTAAAAGAGAGATTGAACCCATCCATGAGGTGGTAAGGCAACAATTATAAAGCTTAACTTTAAATTAGATGTAGACTTAAAGCGGAGATGCAAAACTTTTCGCCTACCTATTATTTGGAGGGTTGAAAACGATCTTCTTTAGACCCAGTTTTCAGGTTCTTTTGTTAGTAAAATAGTTCTATGAACCACTTTTTTTTTCCTTTCTTTTTGGGTCGAGGGTGGGGAATACAGTTGATGAAATAAGGCATTGATAAAATATGGAAAAGGGTGTCTTACCTTCTCCTCGGAGAAAAAGTATAGAGTAGAGTGAGAGTAAAGAACTCCCCAAGCTTCTTTGGATGTTGATTTACATTTAAAGTTGATTTTATGTGTCGATTAGTAGCTGACACCTTGCTTCTTGCAGCATATGCAGAAATTGTCTTGAATCTTCCTCAAGCTCTGCAGGACATGTTTGAGCACACAAGCTCTACATAGTTGTAGTTATTCATGATCTGGAGTAGCAGCTGCCTCATTGCATTCTGTGTAGTGAATGCTGTGGTTGTAAACTGAATATTTTTACTTTATTTGTTATACTTGTATATTCTGAAAATCCGGTCTAGCGATTGTCTTCTTCCCTTAATATTGACTCTTTTACTTAGTTCAAGACAAATTGCCTTTGGTATGTATTATATCCTTCATATTTTGGGGAAGAAATGGGAGAGAATTCGCAATTCACACATTGTGGGAGAACAAATTTTGCTTTCCTATACTTACCCCACTCCTTTCCTGCAAATGCCAGTGCACCAGGTGAAGATAATATCAAGTTCTCTGCCTTATGATCTGCCCGAAAAGCTGCCATCGGAAACTGTTCGATTCTGAACTTGACCTGCACTGCCACATTCCAGAGGCACTTTGTTAAATATTATAAGTTTGATTTTTGAGCAGTTAATGGTACTGATATAGTAGTTGCTTGCTTCCTTCAGTAAAACCCATTTATAAGGTCGTTTTTAATAGCTTTATGCGCCTGGTATCATTAATTCATTGAACCGACAAATGTGAATTCGCGCTACGTATGGCTTTGTACAAAGGGAAGCGCTCCTTATCATTTGGGGTTCAAACCTGAGACTTTTGATCATTCAGTCACACTCTTGGTGGTATTTATAAGGTCATTCATTTGAATAATTCCCTATGAAATATGCCACCAAAACAGAAAAGAGAAGAATCAAACTTGAGGACAAATTTGAAGCCGCAACTCAGCCCTGCAATCTCTCTAGTTTCATAGGTGAACGACATGAATGTAGTGGAAGGCGGTAGGTGGATGTAGTGGAGCCACCTTTCTTCACTCACTTATCGAAAAATTACATTTTATATATATATATATATATATATATATATATATATAATGTTGAACTCCTTCACTTCTTCGTGTGTCTACTTTATATTTTGATTTTCTTTTGTGAAAATTCTGGCTCTGACACCAGGGAGAAGGGCACGTTTGGGGGTCAAAATAGCACGGTATAGCCAGTTTTCGCACTGGTCAATCAAAAATAGCCAGCGTTTACCAAGTTAATGAAAAATAGCCACTATTTTGCTGCAACAGAGACCGGTCCCGTATAATATACGGGAGTTCGGTGCATTTGTGTACGAACTCCAGCATATTATGCTGGACCGGTATACTTTGCTGACTCCTGTATAATATACGGGAGACTGAAGCACTGGTGCTCCAAACTCCAGTATATTATACTGGACATTTATACTTGCTGGAACTCCAGTATATTATGCAGGAGTTCCAGCATAATTATACTTGAACTCCCGCATATTATACGGGAGTTCCAGCATAGTTATCCTGGAACTCCAGTATAATATGCGGGCGTATTTTCCGGATTTTGAACAGTGTTTTCTCTCAGATTTATCGTTACATGAAAAGTGGCTAAATTTCGATTACTTTTGAAACTGGACTATTTTTAAATGACCAGTTGTAAATCTGGCTATTTTTAAAATTTTTCCCCATTTGGGGTGAAGAAGGTGCCTGGTTAAGGGTTGATTTTGATAGAAAACTCTTGTGGGAGATCCAAGAAATTTTAACTCAATTAGGAGCCCGTTTGGCCATGAAATTTTTTTCACAAAAACAAAAACACTTTTCGAGATTAGCGTTTGGCAATAAAATTTTCAATTTTCATTTGAGGATGAATTTTGGAATTTTCAAAAATTTGAAAGACTCCAAAAGTTGTTTTTCAAAATTTTCACTCAGATCACTCATAAAAATTCAAAAACAACCCAAAATATTATTATGTCCAAACACAACTCTAATTTTTAAATACTCCCTCCGTTCACTTTTACTTGTCATGTTTCGCTTTTCGAAAGTATACATAAACTTTGACCAACGTTTTAACATGTATTATTTCACCGTATTGATATGAGAAAAATTACAAATTGTAGTACTTTTCGTAATAGTTTCTGAATATCTAATTTTTAATTTTAAAATATTAAGAAAATCTAACGCTAATTAGCTTTAAAAATTAGTCAAATTGACTCTTGAAAAAAGAAACGTGACAAGTAAAAGTGAACGGAGGTAGTACCATTTTTACTTGGAAATTTTTTTCCACTTATTTTACCGGAATTTTACAATTCTTATGTCCAAACGTCCACTAGGAGTCGTTCTTTCGGAAAAAGATAAAGAAAGCTTTTGGAAAAAGACTATAACAAACCAGACAGCCTTTGCTGAGCAGCAATCTCTTTATTACCTTGAACTAAGAGAAAAGAATATTCAACATTTTCATTTCTCCGGCAGTTGAAATATGACAGCAATAAATACCCTGGCAAAAATATATCATCTAAACAAAAGGTAATACTTCACAAACATATATGGTTCAGTACACCATAACTTTAGTCAATCTTATAGTGGATGTTGCAGCAGCTAGGAGAGTAATCCTTTTTCAAATAAGCAATCACAGAAATGATCTGTGTTACATTCAACACTCAGCCACAGGAAAAGCAGATCCAATGTTGTCTCCCAAACGATAGCATTTGATATTAACAGGATATGGACCAATCTCAACATGGTTCTCTTCCCCTCCAACAAAGAAGCATAGAGTGTAGATAGCAACTTCAAATTCAGGGCTAACTCCAATCAAACTGCTTGACACAGATTTCAGGACGCCGTTCCATTCAAACTGTATGGTCAGTAGTTGAGTCTCTGAGTCAGGCTGCATTAGAAAGAAGGCAAAAGAGTTAACATGCTGAATGAATACAAAATAGTTACAGGAAAACTAAAGTTGACATACTGTATTTAGAACCCTTAAACTTCAGCTTCTAGGACCCAAATTAATAGTTGTATGACTTACAATCTCTCCGCGCCTTCGAGGGAAGATGTATCCTTGATAGTCAACACTGCCCTTAGCTTCCTCTAAATAGAACTGCAAACAACATAATGTATAAGAAGAATATATAAGCTCGCTAATTTCCCTTCTATAAGTCAGAAATTCTGCACTCACAAATGCAGTTTATGGTGAAAAGCACATATACTAACGAAAATTGGTAGAAGTTATGGAATCTGTTGAACAGTGATAAGGCGAGTTGTTGTCCTGAATAAATTTGACAATGCGCGTTCACTTTTGCAATTTCAAAATTAATTTTTAAGTATAGGGGAAGAGTAATGTCATATATATACAAAAATAAAATCCAGCTACTGAAGAGTGCAAAGGGTACTATGGCTCTTCAATTCTCTATTTTGTATTCAAATTCAGCAGTTTTAATCTTTTTTGTCTTTCACTCTGCAAGTTAAAGATGAATTCCAGAAACTAATTCTAATCTTACTCAAGAACTAAAACTTGCCAATATAAGTCAGTAAGCAGATAAAGTTGCTTGCTATAGCTGGGCCGGTTTCCGTATAAGAAGAAAGCAAAAGGCGTGGAAGTTTGCCTCGTTAGCTCTCATGTGGATAGTTTGGGGGGAGAGAAATAGGAGAGCTTTTGAGGGGATTGAGTCTCCTTTTTCACATCTTAAGAATAGTCTTTTATCTTTGATCGCTTTTTGGTGCGCACTCATATAGCCCCTACTTGTATAGAAGATTGGGCGTCTTTTGTAAAGAATCATGTTCTGATGTAAATTCTCTACTTTTTGGTATACTTCCTGTATACGGGAGTTCTCTCCCTTTTGATTAATACAATTTACCTTATTCAAAAAAAAAAAAAGTTGCTTGCTAATTTCAACTACTACTAGATGGAGATAATGAGATATGCATAATCTATCAATTCAAACTATTTGTCCCTTTGCATCTAAAAATCTTTATACACTAGAGTATAAATGTAAAGGCATCAAGTAGAAGAAAAGAAGTGCACCTGAAGCCAGTTGTGAAATCCAGAAACTGATTTTTCCCCGTGCTCCTTTATCTCTCCAACAAAAACATGTTCAAAAGCTGAAGAGCTAGCAGATGTACCACCTCGACTATAAAGGTCAAACCAGAGATGAGTCATCATTCTCTTAAACTCTTCATAATCACCAGAAACTACGCGCTTCAATGATAGATACTTGTGCAGATATTTTATTGGCGCAGTTCTACTGATCTCTTCTATGAATGCTGTTTGTTCTTGCTTCTCTTGAGGTGTTACATTCTCCTTACAACCCTGGTGCGGATTATAATTATCTAAAAGGGAACAGAAACGAGAATAAGTAGGCTTGTTAAATACGTCGTCACTAAGCCAGGAAAATAAACATCCTTCGGCCATATCGTCCTTTTGGTAAACCTTCTTTCCTTCACCGCAATCAATCTGGTAGTCCTTTCCTGGAACTAAGCGGTTAAGATCAAGTTCCCAGAGCTTGTTGCATGCTCTCGATAAATCTGAAAGCTCTTCTTCGGAGGGTTCCATGTCAACTCCATACTCAACCTCATTGGAATATTCTTGCTCATCAACGGGCATTTTGTAATTGTCCCAGTTATCCATTTTAACCTGTTGCAGCATATTTACAATTTCCATATGATCACAACGTAAATTTTAAATGCACAACTGAAAAGCTTGAAGAATTGAAAAGTTGCTCTATCTGTTACTTTCATCCGAGAGAAGTATATTTTTAGTTTCCCCGTGCTCTTTTAGGTCTATATACGGAGTAATATAGTTTTTTCTCAAGGTAGGGATAAAGTCTGCGTACACACTACCTTCCCCAGACCCCACTTGTGGGATTTCACTGGCTTTGTTGTTGTTGCTGTATACGGAGTAATATAAGTTTCCTCCACATCTTTTACTTGGTAACAAGAAACAAATCTTGTATTCTGGAAAAACATCTACTCCATGTCTGTTGTTTAGACAGTAAAACTAGTTCACTAAGTTGTGAAATAATAACCTTTTGATGCCGTTTAGTAGGCTTTTTCTGGACCGTCTCCCAGCCGTCATTGTTTACCTCGTCCTCCTGCAGGAATACCAGTAAAACATGAGGATACCTTCATGAGGAAGATCAAAATAGATATGATACTTGAGCAAGGCCAACCTTTTGATTGAAATTATCTTGCCTCTCGTCATCATTTCTTTCATACCCCTGAGGCGAAGCCTGCATGTTTTGAGATGGCTGAGAACAGTGACCATTGAAACAGCAAACAACATGCTACTTCACACTGACTACATAAGTATTTCACACCCCTGTGATATGATACTTTATCTCTTCAACCCACTTGAGACCAATGTTATCAAAGGCGAAAAGTGCAAATACGGTATGTTGGGGCTTTAAGCGCAAATAAAGCATGAG